CATTAATGACATAATGAGGTGTCATTAAAGGACATCTAAGCACAGAGAAAAAAGAAGCAGGAATAGTTTCTGTTGGCATGACCCTCTGATACAGCTGCTCTGAGGGATACAGGAAAACATCAAGGAATGGTATGATTCTGTTTGTCAGGTGCTTCTTATTTATTCTGAAGTGGCTTATGAAAGAGTGCTTCTTTGCATTCTCTTTTCCAAGAGTGATAATTCAACCTTATGTCGTTGTTGTCCCAATATAATTACAATCTACCTGATGCCATCAATGTCCGAGTTCCTCCTCATTGGCAGATCTGAGCAAAACAAACCCACATGCCACTGATGTATACACGTGCACTGATTTTTTATAAGATGCCCTATGTTCCTTAGACACAAAGTGTTTTATACTCCGCCCACCCCCACTCGCACATACTTTATTTGAATTCCATGCCATTTTCCTGCTCATTTCCCTGATTTGCCAGACATCCAAAGCTGAACAGCTGCCATGGCAACAGTTCCAGGACTGGAGGTTTTGCTCCCTGACACCCAGCTGTTGCCCCTTCAAAAGGGGGACGTCAAAGTTACTCACAGCCAACGAGAAGATACTGGTAGCACTGCACGGAATCTGCAGCGAGCAGCAGCGGATGGTTCAAGTTAAAGGGTGGCTGCAGTTCATTCCATTGGGGAGTTCTGCGAAAACAACACGAGCATATTAATATTTAAGTTTCAAGAAGGGGAAAATCAGCATCTGTGTCATCGCATCCTGATTATTTATGCAAGAAAGTGCCGTGTTTATAATTATTTCAAGTCACTTGCTACAAGGGTAGAATATTCCACAGACAGATGGAGAGAGGGGAAATGAGCAGTGTGATCCTATGCAAGCTGTGATAGTCACACACAGACATGCAGACACACACACACGCAGACACACACACACACACACACACACACACACACACACACACAGAGGGATGCGGGTTTGCTGTGCACACATTCTCCACATCATATGATGTTCAGGCCTGACACATTTCCACCAAGGGAGCACTGGTGTCCTGCCAAACTGGAGATGCCTCCGATTAGTGTCTGATTTGCGAAAACTAAGTTGTATAAAGTTGCAGGACATCGATCTGGCTTGAATCTGCAATCCCATTACAAGTGGCTCCTTTTGACCATCATGGCCCTGAAAAGACGGCATGTTCGTTATTTTAATGAGGGCTGGCCGCTCGTCAGTCACTTGGTAAATCACGTATTGATCACTTCGGGCCCAGAATGAGCCAGCATTGAAGAAGACTGGAGACTACCAAAAATAAAACGGAATAAAAATCAATGGAGAAATATTTCAAAATGTCAAAAGCACTGACAATATTTTATCAGCGGATCCCTCTTTATTTTAATTCTGTAACTTAGACTTCATTTCTCGAAACAGCCTTCAGAACACACCAACTTGGGGTATGAGTGTAGGACAGCTGGTCTAGTCACTCTCACTGTATGTCACTGAGGACCAAATAGGAAACTCTCCAGTCTGATCTGGCCCACGGGACCTCTCTGTGGAGCCATCCAGTCTTCCTTCCTCCTTTATTTCCCCCCCCCTCTACTGGAACAGGGCAAAAAATTGCAGATACGGTATTTCAATATGCTATCCAAGTGACACTGACTTGGAAGCAAATCTCACTGAGGTCAGAAAGACTTGTTTCCAAGGAGGCATGTAAGGATTCAACTGTCACCCTCTTTGCACAGAGTTTAGCTAATCCATCAATGGGATATGCTTCGTTTTTAGATCGCCACTCCCAGACTCCCACAGTTAACACGAGCATACTAACTGCAGTCTGAAAAAGGAAAGATTTCCCCTTTTTAAGCTTTCCTCCGTGCACAGATGCTCACTGAACAAACACAATATATACACACTACCTGGTAGAGAATCCAGAGCCTGATCCTGAGCCTACTACATACACAGATTCAAACAACTGGATTCCTAGCTCTGAATGGAACTCCAATCTAGGGGAGTGTGGCTGATGAAAGGAGGTGGGGGGGCAGGGGAAGGGAAGCAGTCACAAGTTTTGTCTTTTCACTCCTTCCCTGAAGATGTGAATTCCCACCTTTTCTGGAAAAAAACCTACTCTGAGGCATCAGGGGCCCTTCTCTGGAACAGCAAAGGAAGTTGAAGGAGCAAGGGAGAAATCAGCCACTATGGCCTTTCCACCGAGGAGAGCATTCTGAGGGGAGCCCTGTTCAGATAATGCGTCCTGAGACAGTAGGGAGGAACCTGGATCTAGGTCTATACATATTGTGATATTGTGGGAGCATCAGACAGGCAATGATGTTTTGAAGTTGGAGATGGAGTAGGTGGTTTTTTTGGATAGCAATCCTCAGAATCCCCAGTCATGGCTAAGGAATTCTGGGAACATATTTCATTCAAAGGAGGGAAGCCTCTAAATCAATCAATCAATCAATCAATCAATCAATCAATCAATCAATCAATCAATCAATCAATCAATCAATCAATCAATCTATCTATCTATCTATCTATCTATCTATCTATCTATCTATCTATCTATCTATCTATCTAGAATGCTCTACCTGTGGAGGTGCACTAGGCCCTTTCCCTCCTAATATTCAGGAAGCACATAAAAACTTTGCTTTTCAGGGAGGCATTTCAGGATATCCTCGGCTCATAATTGTTAGTGATTTAGTCTTGACTATTACATTTTGTAAGCTTTTTTTGTCCATTGATGTTATCTTGATTTTTTTAGACCTGTTGGCCTTTCATATTATATTTTTCATTTTATATTTTTGGATTGGGTGGGATTTGGTTGTTTCCTTTATTCATCATGGTGCAGTATAACGGTATAAATAATAAATAAATAAATTGCCAGAAACACTAGGCAGAACGTGTACTTGGACATGCACCAATTTTGGTGCAAAACAACCCACCCTCTGTAGTCTCTTAACACATATGGAATTGAGATAGATCCAGAATGTTAGTGGGATTGTAATAAATGTGACAAGAACAGAACCGAACAGAACATCCCTACTACATACACAGATTCAAACAACAACAGCTAGTATGAAAGGACTGGCTACCTAACTAGCGTCCAGCTGGCCCTTGGGCAAGTCATCATTTCCAGTGGGGTGTCATCACTGATCTTAGGCGCAGTGCTGAGTGGCCGAGGTTCCAAGACATGCTCCACAAGAGTACCGTAACAGCTGATGATGTAGAGAGACTCAACCACAAACTGTTTGGACTGATCTGTTGAGGAATGAGAATAATTGAAAGAGATTTATTTCTTTTTCATTCAATAACAAACTTCTCAAAAGGCATTCACCTTAATAAATACCTTGCGAACAGCAATACTATCACCTGCTTTACTCATCATAAAAGGTGTTCTACAAAATCAAAGGAGAGCTAATGCCCATCTCCCATAGAGGTCTATGGCTTGTAAACTGCCCAAAATTCAGAGTAGTTTTCCACTTTCTGGGGCAAGAGAAAGCTACATTCCTATTATGCCTGTCTCAAGTCTTTTTTTTTAGCACCTGACCAATCTAGCTGCCTGATCAAGATTGAAACTCTTAAGCTTCTCAAGGAGAGGAAGCTCTTTTTAAAAAGTTCCTCCCGCCCTCCCTATATTATTCTTCAAAAAGCCCAAGACATTGACAGCAATATGTCAATAAATGCAACTAATCTGGCTGGTAATATTTCTAAAGTTTTCAACAGGAGGATGAAGAAACAAGGAGGAAGGAATGGGAGGATGGGAAGGAGAAGGAGGAGGAGGAAGAGGAAGGGGAGATGAATGGGAAGAAAAAGGAGAAGAAGGGGATGTGAAAACACAAAATATCCAAAATGTGTCAGCTTTGGATCTTTAGAATATTGTTTGTACCACTGGATGTCTTCTCTCTCTCTTTCTCTCTCTTGCTGCACATAGAGAGTTGGAAGGAAAAGCTTTGGCATTTTCTGTTACTCTGTTCTTGCCAGGTTTGCAAACTAAAATGAACTGTTCCTGCCACTGCCTTCATCAACACTTCCTCTTTGGTGACCGGGGGAGGGGGAGGAACAGAAACAGCCACGTATTGCAATTCAAAACCAAAGCATGAGTAGAAACCCCAACATGATTTGGTTAGAAAAGGATCCTAGCTTAAAGCAGATGCCTGGATAACTACTGTCTGCCAGAGAAGACAAGACCATGGCAGATGGACCAGCAGTCAACCTCAATATAGGGCAGTTTCATTATATATTATCTGTATGTTATTGACCTGTATTAAAATACAAACCTTTCTCTCTCTTAAGACCCGGGTTGCTTGCAAACCAAGATCTCGATGACCCAAAGACAGCAGCGACGCAGAATTCTCCTCCCACAGATTTGCTGGGTGAAATTTGTGGAGCTGGTTTGCTTTTGCTTTGAAAAAGAGGTAGAGAGAAGAAAGAGATCATACTCTAATTATTATTGAGTTGTCCACCAAAGTAATTTGTGCTTGAGGTGCAATATAAGGCCGGGGAACCTCTTTTCTCAGAACTACCGAGAATCAATAAAGCCTGAAGACAGAACAGTGGCTGCTCAGCATTTCAGAAAAGGCAAATTAAACATCCCTTATATAAGGAGCAGAAATAGCTCGAGTTATTTGATTGACTTCTTGCTCAGTGACAAAGGCGAGGAACTACAACTGATGCTCTTAGGCTACACCATCCCCTGTCAATCAGGAGGCAATGGGAGTACGGAGGAAATGACATATTTAATCAGTTGCTAAGAATTAACCCCTTTCATAGTTAGCACTCAAGATAAATGTGTGCTCCAAACTGTGGGGTACAGAAAAACAAGGCCTGAGTTTTGACAGTTGTTTCTAAGGTTATGTTTCTACAACCACATCTAAAAGTAATATACTAAAAGAACACATTGTTTGTTCCTATACTGTATGTGAATTCAAACAACTAGTTCTTCTATACATCAAAGGATGGTGTTAAGGATCTCATGCTACTGACAACTCAACAGGGCAATGTTGTCCAAAGACTGCCATATCAAAATGGACCCAAACTTGAGAGTGGTTTGGGCTCAGTTCCCTATGGATTTGGAGGTTTTCTGTTTTGGGGAAAGCTCCTTTCCGAACACCCCATTCCAAAAAGGTTAGTATCACCGTTATATGAAAGGAGGTTTTTCTTCTTCCTATTCACAAAACAGATTTTAATGTACAGGAAACTGTCAGCTTTTTACGTAATATGAACACAAGCAAAGGCGAAATGACATGGAGTATGAGAAAGAGGGATAACATCCACATACACAAAAGCAAGCATGCCTGAAAGAACGAGACCCTAAAGCAGTCTCAAATGCAGCAAAACGAAGGTCAAAGTTCACATTCTTGGCTGTTCATTTATCCATTTCTCTTTTCTCATCTGTCTTTCTTGGAAACTTAACTCACCTTCTGGACTCTTAGCTAGACCCAGGATGGATGTTTAGAGTGCTGGGCTACCACTCAGGAAACTGGGGTTCCAATCCTCACTCAGCCAGGAAACTCATCACGTGACCCTGGGGTCAGCCACAGTATCTCAGCCTGACCTTATATTGTGAAGATAAAGTTGGGGGAGGAAAGCCAGGTAAAACACCTTGAACTCACTGCTGGAATATAAATGGAGCTAATAAATCATGATGATGAACAGCCTCCACCAGAAACCAGTGTCCAAGAAAGCACGACAGGGCAAATTATGAAGCTGTCTCAAAGCTGAGCTGTGTGTGAATGAAAAGAAAGGGGGTAATGGCATATTCTGAAAGAAAAGGTTTAGGTTTAGTGTATGGAAACTGACAAACACTTCTGCCAGAGGAGTGAAAAAGCATCTAGATGGGACAACAGAAACCTCTGTGTATGCTTCCGGGTTAGCACCAAAGAAGAAGGAAGAGCAGAAGACTGAAACTTGTACAGGGCGGATTACATACAGTCTAGCGTTCATCCCCCAGCCTCTCCAGACAGTAAGATCTCAATCAACAAGACTACAAAAGAATTTTTGGTGGCAAGATGATATCAATGGAATGATGGACTAAGAGGACTAAGTAAAGAATGCAAGAGTGAGTCATTACAGAGAAGACACCCATCTTATATTGCTGCACTAATTTTCCTATATTTTCCTAAAGCTGCCAAGGCTAACCAGAGCCTAGAAATAATCAGAGCTTGGAAAAGTTACAGCTTTGGCTACAATCCTTGTACATTCCCAGCCAACGCGGCCATGCCAGCTGGGTGATTCCAGCAGTCCAAAAAAAGTAACTTAGTCCCCCCTCCATGTCCACTGAAGTATTCTTCTCAGTACAATAGAAATTAAGGGCAACAAATTACTAGAGCTGTGGGAAGTAATTTCTGACATGCAATATGTGGCCCCCATGTGGACCCCCCACTCATTTTGATTTCTCGGTCATCACTGCTCCTAGGAGGGTGACCAGATTTGCAGCCACAGGGGTGACAGTGACAAAAGAAGAAGCTGCTGTCCTTTAAAAACAGGGTTTGTGCTCCTAATGTACATACATTGGCCTACATTGTAGGCCTCATTTACAACTGGCGTGCTGGTGGAAGTCTCCCACAGGAATGATTCTGCTTGAAAAGAAGGTGTGCAGCAAGCATGCAACACATTTTAAAGAGAAAATGACAGATTTGCAACTGCGGCTTTCTCTGCCATTGTGGTTGCCGTCATCATCCTTAGCAGCAAATTAGGGGTAGTGACAGCAGGGGATGGACGTACAGTCCTTGGTAGATGCTGGAGATAGCACTCTTGTCCCTGGATCCTTGGAAGTTACCTACTCACCTTTACAACTTTCCCACCTACAAGCAGATACGTACCAACATTATCGGCATGTAAGAACAAGAAACTACGTGGACTTCCACAGCAGCAATGGGCGTGTGGATTATTTCTATCTCCTGCAGCTCGCTGGGAGCCAACAGTAAGCAGAAAAGGTCATGCTGCGGAGTTGCTTCCCAAGCCCTCTGTGCCCCCAAAGAGTTATGATTTTTCACAACACAAGTATAAACAGATTTAAAGGAAATGGAATAAAGTATGTTCTATTTACACCACGTCTTTAAAACAAACGTCTTCTCCAGCACACACTGAAGCCCCGGCTTCCAGTGCCAAAACATTTTCAGTTCAAGAATGATGTTTTGTAGACAGAAAAAAGGCAGCCTTGTAAAACATGATTACTTTTGTGGTTAAGCTTAAGTGAGAAGGAGAGAGGAGGGAAAGGGGGAAAAACAAGGGATATTATCCTTGCTTAAAATGTTTGGTGGATGGGGGAGAAAGGACAGAAGATCTGATACCAGCATCATCAAATCCATATTGGAAAGTTTTACAACAGAATCTTTAATACTATGACCCACAGGCATGCTCCCTGTCTTTCGAGTTCCTCATTCTTTGTGTCACCCTGGAGTATTTATAGATATGTCCCCATTTAAATTGCCCTTGCCAACTGACAAAAAAACCCAGTTGTTTTCCAGGCTACTGCATGAGGTTCCAAAGTAAACATCATGTTAATTTCATTAATGCAGTCAGCATGCATGCATTTTGTGTCAACAGCCGTCCTGTGAGGTGTGAGCATGTTTAGGGACAAAGACTGCGGACAGGGATACACTGGAAGCTCCCATTCCAGAACAATGAGCAACAATTGGGAGCATATGGGGAGGACAGAACTCCCCCCCCCCACAATCCTGATGCTATTCCACCACCTCCACCACTGTGATTCACTACAGAAAGAGAGAGAGAAGGTGTACCTGTATATTAACTGTGCCCGTGGGATTAATGGTTGTACCTGGCCAAGTTTGGCCTTCGACTCCAGTTCAGGAGCTCCGAGTGGCAAATCCCAACTAGCCAAGTGAAACCAATCCCATGTAACCTTCCCACAGATGCACCGAGGCAAACCATCTGAACATTCCAATTCTGGCTCTCTTGTGGCAAAGAGCCAAAAACAAACTAGCCGGACAGTATTGTCCTCTTTCTCTCTAGACGTGGAGACCTCGATGGCGAAGGTGTCCTATGTGATGAGTTATGAAAACTGCAACTTAATGTCTCTTCTGGGAAACATCGCCAGGCTCAGGATAAGCCTGGCCCATCCAGGCTGGCCAAAGGCCCCCCCCCAAAAAAAAACAGGAGAAGGCAACCAAAAGGTTTCCTGTTTGAAGAACATTTCGGGTTGAGAAACAACCTCTTTGGGGCCATAGTATGTTCCTGGGCATCTGACCTGCAAGGCGAACTTTTGGCTTCCCTCCCTGTCTTAAACATGGAATGGCTTTGATAGCCCCAGAACAAAGGTGAGAAATGTGGATTTTTTGGGGATGTGAACTCTGTCGTGGGTGATGCTGGAAGTCATAGTCAAAAATAAATAAATAAAGTTTTCCATCTCTGTCGCAGTACAAGGGAAATCCCTGGACTAGACAACAGTTCAATCATGAGCTCACTTGCCTATCTACATATTTCACAGGACAAATCACAGAAATAGCATGATAGCAGTTTCAGTCTTATAGGTCTAACAACAGGTACATTAGCCATAAAAACCTGGCTCTTGTCATATTGAAAGCAGTACTGAATGGTTCTCCTCAACTCCATGATGATTAAATCATTTATTCCGATCTCAAAATATAACCAATGCAACTGAGAGCATCCTGCCGATTTCCTCCCTGCTTCCTTTTCATGTGAATTGTGCAACGGCAGGGCCATTGTAGATTACAACAATAGCTAACTGGGACACCTTTGCCTCTCCAGATCCTCTGGAGGACTACAACTTCCACAATAATATTGTCCTTGGCCATGGGTTCTCCATTCCATGTTTTCACTGACCAATAGCATGCCTGCAAGGTGCAATCCTTCCCTGGAGCTCCATAGGGTTCCTCAACCTTCCTCAGAGTTAACAAACATCATCATCTTCTTCATCATCTTAGAACTGCAAAGTTGGAAGGGACCCTATGGATCATCAAGTCCAGCCCATGTCAAAAAGGCACAGTGGGGAATCGAACCCCCAACCCCTCGCTCTGCAGCCAGAGACCTAAACCAACCCCTGTGTGATCCAGAAGTTAAGGATTCAGTCCTTCTGCGCGTAAAGCACAGCCTTGCCCACTGAGCTCTAGGAGCCCTTTCTCTGAAATGAACAGCAGCTGCTCAAGAGGCCTGCTGTCCTTTGGAGGAGCTCTCCCTTCCTTTCAGTGGTGACTGCACCCTCGAGAGCTTTCCGATGGGATGATGGCCTTTAGCTTTTCATGGTGGTTCTGAAACCATTAAGCAGCTTTTCCCAAACAAAGGCATATTCCAAATTCCTCTTCAAGGAGGCACATTTATTTATTTATTTACTTATTGACAGTGGCGGTTTCTTTAAAGCTTAAAATCAACCGCTAAAAATAATTACAGGCCCTCATTTATTTATTTTTACTCAACACAGAGCTGACAAATTTATGCCCGATTCTGCTGACTTCATTTTAGGTCTCATTAAGGCTTTAATGAAAACAACATGCTGACTTAAAAATATAAAATCTCCCCCACCTACCCCCAATTCTTTTAAAAAGGAAGAAGAAATTTCCAATTGCTGCATAAGCAGACAGTGGTTCATTTTCTTGAGCGCGCTATAACCGCAGCATCAAACGGACCACAAGAGACTTTTGTGAGCACATATTCAATGATTTAAGGTCTATTACATTCCATATATTCTTCACTTTAATCTAGTGCTTTTAATCTTGACTCAAGCCGATGCCATCCCCAGTTGACAAGGGACTGTACTCCTTCTGGCGGATGCTTAGAACAATCTCTACTAACTTCCTCCTAGTGAAAACCACAGATAGGTATTTGACAGACGATTCAAGTCCAGTTTTCTTTTCTTGGCCATTTCTTTAATGAAAGGATATGGGAGGTAGGGGAGAAGCATACCCACCACAGTTACCAGAAATGCTCTAATAAAAATAGTAATATTACTGCACAGTAATTTATAGAGTGTTCCAAGTTTCCTCACCTCTCAGAAATCCTTGTAATAAGTATGGAACAGAATGCAGGGTTAAGGCTGAGAGATCAACCATGTTCACACACATCCAAGCTGACAAACCCATTCCCCTCCACCTTGTAATTCCCAGAATATGCCATGCATGGCTTTATGTAAACAGAGATGTGCTGCAGCCTCTCTCTCACTCTTGCAGCCGCACCGTTTTTATTTTCTTTATTTTTGGAGGAGTAAAAATGCCCCAAGTGGTTTCATTGACTTTATTCTCTTCCCCACAAGTGCCTCTGCCCAGTGTGGATTGGTGATAGCTTCTTAGAGACCCTGAAACACCTGGAGACCTCTGTTTGGTTTATCCAAACATTTTTGAGATGAGAGAGCACTATATGACAAGATGAAACTGTAAAACCTACAAGCAACACATTTATTGCATAACATTATAGGCATAAAAATTAGAAGTTTCAAGACAAGTGGAAAAAATGTGTGGCCATCATTTTTCCATCTTAGCATTCATTAGTCAAACAACACAAGGTGGAGGTGGAAGCAACTATTCTCATAGAGCAACCGGACAGAATACTGCTTATTTGTCGAGCCCTTCATCTAAACAAAAAGACTGGAAAAAACGTCTGCTTGCCTCAGAAAAGTAGTACAGTATCTGGGAAAGGCCTTTGGCACCTCCAATGAAGCTCCCTGTTGCTTGAGAAGAATGTGACAAGCATGGGTGATGTGGGCGATACCATGCTATCTCCGAGTTTTAGAGAAGCCATTCGGGCAGATCCATGAGACTGCACTGAACGCAGAAAACGCCAAGAGCAGCCACAGCCACAAAGGGTAACAGAGGCTGCTGGCTTGACCATTATACATGTGAGGGGTTGCTGAAAACAGCAACTCTATGTAGAATTCCTACTCCTTTTCTCACTATGATGCATTTCTGGAAATGCAGGATCTATCATGTACTTACTGCTACACCCCTGCTGGCTACCATGGCAAGTAGACCAAGGTCTCCCACACAGAGGGCTCCTAGTAGAGAGGGTTGCCAATCAAAAGTCATTGGTCGGCCATTTTGCCTTGTTAATGGATTTCTTATGTACTGGGGGAGGAGGTGGGAGACGGGGAGGAGGATGAATTGATGCTGATGTTGTGATGATATATGATGTCTGAAGTCCCCATAAAATGACATGAATGAACTCGGTGCTTACTGTACAATAAAAGCCTCATCTGGAAGCGCTGGTGTGACTAGCTAACATCTTTAAGCAATTCGTTGGCACTGGTGTGACTTCTGAACATCTTCAGAAATTTGTGCATTCTTGGAGGCCTACTGATGATTGCCTATCTTCCACCTCCTGCCATTTTAATTTTTTTTAAGTTGCCCATCATAATTTTCCTTGACACTCCCTCTGGTGTAGCCTGGCTCCAGCACACTGCATGACTTTAAAAGGGCTGCCATCTGGCTCTGATTAAAAGGGTGCCAAACAGAGTAGCAGGCAAGCCTGGCGAAGAGGTACGAGAATAGGGGAAGACTCACCAAGGGGGAACCTGCCATCAATCCTTACCACCACTGAGGCAGTACTGGGGAAGCATGCTACATATTAAGATACACGGATGGCTTTAGACATGAAAGGGGCAGGAAAAGAGTAATTCAACCAGGGTAGAGGCAAGTATGTTGGGCATGACGCTTAGTTCTGCCCTCAGACACACATCGCTTCCATGTAAGGAATAAATCAGTTCATGCAATTTTAAGAAGACAATGATGAAGAAGAAAAGCAATGTGTGGTAATTTCTAGTGAGTACAGCAAAAGAATTAGAAGGCATGCTGGGATTGAACTGAACTCACCATGGAGCTTTTATGGAAAAACATCCTGCCCCAAACAGGTAAGGTCTTCGTGTGGAAGTGGGGGGGAAAATGCACAGAAATTAGATGGAAGAGGTCATTGTCAACAAGCAACAGTGTCAAAACATGTCATTCCAAAACATACACATATATTTAAAAACATTGTTGATTTTCTAAATTAGAAAAAACTACCATTGTCTCGCCCAAGGCAACAGGAGGCCAAAAAAAAAAAAAAATCCCCCAGTGTTGCAATAAATGCTGGATTGCTGCTGAAAGCCACACTGGTTGCCAATCTGCTTCCAGTCTGAGTCTGTGAGTACAGAAGGCCAAAATGGCTTGGGGGCAATATATCTGAGGGAGCATGTCTCCCCATGTACACCTGTCCAACCACGAGGATGCTGAGGGAGAGGAGTACAATACATGGAGACACAGGAGAAGGCTTTCTTGGCCATGGCACCTTGGTTGGTGAATCTCCTTCTGCCCTTGATGCCATCAAATGGTGCCATCCTGGCCTTTACTTTTTTGCCACACAATTAAAACTTATTAAAAAATCATTCCCCCCAAGCACCTAGAACAATTGTGGCTTAGCTTCCACTGCACGATTAAGGTGTTGCAAATCTCCTCCTTGTTTGCTTTACATCCACAGAGGTAGTAGACCAGGATCTATGTCAGATGGTTTCAAATCGTACAGAAGAGAACACGTTATCAGCAATCCCTTTAGTTACAGAACTAGACGGCCATTAGTGAACCCACTCACGTTGTAACCAGAATGAAATAAAATAAAACAGCGATATGTTATTACCCATTATAGTTGTTATATAATATTGTTATGTCTCAGTCACTGCAAAAGAGGAATGAAATTACAAGTAGCAAATTCTTTGTCATTACTGTATACCTGGCTCACCTTT